ATGTATCAAATTTTACTGTAATATCCTTTGTGTATATTTATTAAAACAAAACAATTAAATGATATTTGATCCAAAAGTTTGAATACTGAAATAATGTATTACGGCTAAAATTAAGATAATAAAAAAATATATTAATAATGTTCTTATTTAATTATCACTACTATTTAGTATTTAATTAATATCGATTTAAAAATAACTTAAATCGAATCACCGAAACTTAAATTAATACTCTATTCAGTTTTTATTTATTTATATATTTTAAAATATAAATGATCAAATATTTAAATTTTGATCAATATTTATTTTTATAAATTAAAAATTTTAAATTTTAAATCAACTCTCATATATTAAATAATAATTATGTTAGACCATTAGAATTTTAAGCAACTTTTTTGTCTATTTATCTAATTTAATTTTTATTTATTATAATTATTTAAAATTTTAAAATAAATTATGAATAGATAAAAATAGTGTTATACTACAATATAATTTATTAATTTATTTATCATAAATAAAAAATATAATTTATACATTTATAAATATCTATTTGTGTAACAACCTAGAATTTTTTTTATGTAACTACTAATAATTAATTAAGAAGATAATGATGATTTTATTTTATTTATGATTAAGAATTTTTTTATATTTTTTAATAGATTTAATCATTAAAAGGAGAACTAGAAATAATTAAAGATAAAGGGTTTAGAGAAATAGGATTTATATATTAGAAGAGAGGCGAAGAAGGGGTTATTTGTTTTTCATCTTCATGTCTTTGACACTCATGTGCTCTAAAGAGAGCGCATCTGGGGAGCAAGGGGAAGGAATCATCGGAAAGGAGGAAGATGCTTAAGGCTCATACATTGCATCACTTAAGGTAAGGGGGAGTGAGAACACTCATCTTTGGGAATTGAGCATATGCATGAAAGGTAGAGAGATTGAGCCCAATCCCATAAGTGTTATGTTTAATGAAATTTTATGTACGTTTGATGTGGTTTATCGAATAGATTCCTAATATAAATTTTATTTGATAATTTGATGCTTCTAAAGTAATGAATTGAGTGCTCTGTAAAAAGGGTTAGATTCCTAAGGGAAAAGAATTGATGAATTTTAGGGGTAAGAGTCGTAGACGTTTAATTCAATAAATTTTCATTGAATGGTGAATTTTCTAGACTAAAACGAGTTCTGATTATTTAGATTTTTGTATGATCGTTTATTGTGATGTTTGTTTGAGTTTATTGTTTTTATGATGGTGTGTTTGGGTGTTATCGCACGCAGCGCTAGGCTCGAGTACTTGGAGTTGGGTGTGCCTTCATGCGTATGAAGGCATTACCCATATGTGCTGACACCGGGTGGGGAAATGTTCATACTAGGCACGAGAGGTCTAGGGTGCTCTCTGTCTCAACTTAAAGTCGAGCGTGGCTTTGTGAAACTGGGTATGAAAAGATCTGGGTGTTGTTTGTCTCAGCTTAAAGCCAAGCATGGCTTTGTAAAGTCGAGCATGAAAAGGTCTATATGCTCTCTATCTTGGCTTAAAGCTGGGAGTGGCTTTGTGATGCCGGGCATGAAAAGATTTGGGTGCTCTTTGTCTCGCCTTAAAGTTGGGCGTGACTTGGTTAAGCCGGGTATGAGAAGACTAGGGTGCTTTTTGTCTCAGTTTAGAATCGACGTGGGTGTCCAAGCCCGACGTAGATTGTCAAAAGGATCTTTTATAATGTTTTAAAAGATGTTATTATGATGTTAATGGTTGATTATATGATGATGAATATTTATATATACTATTATTATCTGGATGAGAGATAATTGATGTGGATAAACATAAATGTTGATGAACAGTGAATGATATGATATAACTATATAGAAGCATTTGCATGGTTATGACATGCATCATACTTGCATGATTATGTGGTTCTAGTAGAAATTTGTTGTTGTTCTGATGAGAACACTTATGTGTTGGTAGCCTAAGGTTAACTTGGAACTTAGATACCAACTATATATTCTTGATTATGATGGGTGAGTATTTCATGCATTTAGATGTAGGTGCACACTGCATTGCATTACTGCGTATGTGTTTATGAATGAAATTAGTGGTGTTACAAGCAAAGTTAATGTATTAATTATTGTTATCATGAAGAGATGGGATGTCGTGAATTGTGACTCATTTCCTATAGAGTGAGATTACTTCTTGTTTGTTTGTCAATATATTTTTTAGATGAAATCCTCGGTATTTGGAGTAGGGAGAAATTGTAAAAACTTTGATATCAATGTAAAATCGAGGCATATGAGTAATTAAGAATTATATTCTCTCTTTGATTTTAGTTAAGTTATGTTCTCTCTTTAATTTTAGTTAATTACATACAAGCTATAATTTGACATTAAATACTCAGTGTATTTATTCTTTAGATAAACTGTTATTTTATTTATAACTTTAAATGAGGATGAACTGATATTTTATGAGCTTTATATATATTTAATTGGAAGACACTAGCTCATTAAACACACAGGGCACCATGAGCACTAGGATTTGTGAGCGGAATGAAACAAGGAAGAGGATCCTAACACGCGGAGCACCAAGAAAGTAAAAACATTTAATTATTTTATTTATTAATAATTTATTTGTATAAATAAATAACTTAAAACATATAAGTCATCTTTTAATTTATGAATAATAAATTATATTATGATATATAATTATTTTATTTATTAATAATTTATTTTAAATTAATAACTTATTTTAAAATATTAATATTTAATTTATCAATAATTATAATAAATAATAATTAAATTAAATATGTTAAAAGATTTCTTACAACCCTCACAAAGAAAAATTAACCTCTATATTAAACATGATCATTTATCTTACAATAATGTTTTTAGGAATTTATAAGAAAAGTTCTTAGAATTTTTTTTAACTTCTTATTCAATCTAATTTTTATTTTTCATAATTATTTATAAATTAAATTTAAATGTTTTTAAAATAAGTTATAAATAAATAAAATTAATATTAGATAGAAATATACATTATTTATCATAAATTTAAAATATAATTTATATGTTACTATAAAAAAATATAATTTATATGTTACTATAAAAAAAATACATTTTAAATATTTAAAAATATCTACTTGTACAAATTTTAAATATAATTTATATATTCAAACATAATATTTATTATATATATAATTATATATTTTAATTATTTATAATTTAATTATATAATAAGCATTTATTCTATATACTAGTTTATACAATTTACAAACCAAATTTTGTAGGCAATAGGAATTATATTAATCTATTAAAACTATAAAAAAAAATACAATTTTTATCAGAACATATTTAAAAAATAATAAGAATTTAAATCAAAATAATTCAAAAATAAAAATCTTCAAGTTCATTAAATTTCAAATCTATTCATAAACACAGCTTTAAATATTCTAACCAAACATTTCCAAAATACTAATTTATAAGAAGTTTCTTTTGATAAAGTAGAAAGTAAAGATAAATAATCATTAAAAAAATTAGAGTTGTTTCAAGACAATTGCCTAACCCGATCGTTGGTTCCCAGTTCCCAGAAAAATTGCATAGCCCCTCAGATTTTATACATAGCTGGTAGCTAATACAAATAGAATCATCTGCAGCTATTGACACTGGTTTCATTTACAGCCTCCTTGCACCACCAAAATAAATAAATAAATAAATAAACGACCAGATATGATCAAACAGACACACCCACACATAGAGAGAGAAAGAGAGGAGAGTGAAGGGCAATGGTGCAGGTCCGTTGTAAACAAAACCAGTTAGCAATTCAATAGTCTATTTATCCATCATTGGGAAGTAAGAAAACATTTACGGTAATTTTCCTATTTATAGTTCCGAGCAAAAATTGTTTGGTTCTCGACTATCGATTTTGATATTTGCATAATCTCCCAATTAAAACTAGAAAGAAGCAAATCCAGTTGTTAACAAAATCATGAAACCGCTCATTAGTATACTTGTACTTCTGTACATTATTGGGCTGGATTGCAGACAATTAGTCCAACTATAATTATCAGAGCTTATTCCGATGTGTTTTTCCCGTCATGATTCTCAGAAATCTATTTAAAGTTCTAAACAAAGTTTAATATATAAAAGATATCCGCGATAAAATGGAGACCAAATGAATCCGTGGGCATCACATCACACGATGGGCTTAACATTTTGGCTTTTTGACCCAGTTAAATTAAAAAAAAATAAAAATACACAAAATAAATTAAAAAAATAACAATTTACCAGAATACTACGTAGGGAGCCACGTGGATGAGAAAATGCATGGGGAGTAGACGTTTTTTTCTGTTTTTTAGAAAAGGCCTCCCCCTAGAAGCCTTATGTGGCTGATGTGACAGCTGAGCCACGTGGAAAAGAAAGAACATGGAGGAGACATTTTTTAGAAAGAGCCTCCCCAAGGCACTATCTTTTGCAAATGTTACACGTGCCACGCTTGTGAAGAAAGAGCATGGAGGGAGGCTTCTTCTGTTGCAGCAAAGTTTGTAAAACCTCTCCCAAGTACTATCTGTTGACGTCCTGATACATTGTAATGCGCATCTCCCTCAGCGCTTTGAAATTCAGACACTCCCTCCTAATATAGTTAAATGTAGAACGTGTTATTGAATTTCACAAAATTCATTTATTTTGGTGTAGTTTAGATGCTATCATATTTTATTTGGTAGTCCAGGATAGTGCAAGTGAATAATATATTTTATTTATTTTAATTTTAATTTTTATAATATATTGTATGGTGATTCGTTAGTATATGTTAGTGGTTGTCTGAGTTTCATTAAAATAAATTGATGATGGCATAACCACATCTACATGAACATACAATTCAATCATATTCATTTTATATTCTCTCAAAGCTATCAAACATACACTCAAGATCAACATTGTATGTTGGAGATAATTTTGATTAGTATTAAGATGTAATTTTGCATGAATTTTATTCTTTAAATAATTCATGCAAAGTTACATCTTAATACTAATCAAATTATCTCCAACATACAATGTAGATCTTGAGTGTATGTTTGATAGCTTTGAGAGACAATATAAAATGAATATGATTGAATTATATGTTCATCTAGATGTGATTGTGCCATCTTCAATTCATTTTAATGAAACTCGAGTAACCACTAACATATACTAACGAATCACCATACAATATATTATAAAAATTAAAATTTAAAATTAAAATAAATAAAATATATTATTCACTTGCACTATCCTAGACCACCAAATAAAATATGATAGTACCTGCACTACATCGGAAAAAGTGAATTTTGTGAAACCCAATAACACATTCTACATTTAACTATTAGGAGGGAGTATGAATTTCATAACGCCCGGGGAGAGGCGCATTACAAACTTGGCTGCAACAGAAGAAGCCTCTCCCATGCTCTTTCTTCACAAACATGGCCCTGCAATAGAAGAAGCCTTCCCCATGCTCTTTTTTCACAAACGTGCCACATGTAACATTTGCAAAAGATGGCGCCTTGAAGGAGGCTCTTTCTGAAAAACACTTACCACCTACTCTTTCTTTTCCACGTGGGTCAACTATCACATCAGGCGCCTGGGAGAGGCTTTTCTAAAAAACGTCCACCCCATGCATTTTCTCATCCACGTGACTCCCTACGTGGCAAAAACTACCTATTCCGATAAAAAAAAATTTAATTTATTTTGTGTATTTTTATTTTTTTTAATTTAACTGGGTCAAAAAGCCTAACATTTTAGCGAAAAAAAAGTGGGCATTATATTTCTAAAGATCTCCACAAAAGCTGGCAAATATAAGCAATTATCTTTAAAATAAAAACAACTAAGTATCAATCGTAAAGATCTTATAAGCATCTTACATATAGTCAATCATCAAAAAAATTCTTGTGGATAGAGATATGTTAAGCAATTTGAAAACTGGCGTCGTGAAGGTGACAAAAGAACATTGAGACATTGCCCTTAAAATACAGCAGAAAACCTACAAAAAGTTACGTAATCAAAGGGTAAGAAACCCAAATATGCTTTCTTTAAAACCTTTTTAAGACAGCTGCTAGACTCAACATAAAAGAAAATGAATCCAAAGTACTCATCTCGTAGCTTAATACAATTTCATAAACAACTTTTAACCTTGGTTCAATTCAAAACCTTCTTGCACCTTTTCAAAAACACAATCCAATTACAAAAGATAACAGTAAACAAATCAACATTTAGAAAAATAAGCAAAGAATAAATTACAGAAATTAAAATCAACACAAACAAAGAGGCACAAAGATTAAAAGATGGAAGGCAAAAAGGAATTCGAAGCCCTCAGATCTCACAGCTTAATAGAAAATCATCTACAACTTTTGTCACTGTTTTCAATCACAACCTTCATGCACCTTCAAGATCAGAGTGAATTGGTAGCATCGCTCAACACAACACACACAGAGGAAGATTATGTGGATGAGGCTGAGGAAGAGGGAGATGGGAGAGGGGGAGAGAGAGAGATGCAGATCGGGATATGAAAGAAACCAGGTAGCAGCTCAGCAATCTATTTGCGCATCAATGGGCAAGATAACAAGCAATATGCTTCAATTATCACTACTGAACTTTATTTTCGGAGTAAAACATTTTCAATTATGAATTAAATTTTGAAAAGAAAAAACAAAGGAGAAATGCGTATAACAGGCCCTCAAATTAAAAATTAAAAATAAATTTGATACAAGTAATAGAATAAAAGAAAAATGCAAGTTTCTCAAAACATCATGGCAAACAAAGGGCCTAACATTCAGACGTTAGCATTCAACCGTAGATGATGTCATTAATCACAAAGAATAATGATATTGATGACAATGCAATATGCAATGACAAAATAAAAACAGAAAGTCCAGAACAATCTGAAAACAAGTCTCATACAGTAATGAAAGAAAAAAAAAACACAGAAAAGTAATAAAGAAAACCATAAATTGGAAAAACAGAAGGATGTGGATAAAAAAACGGAACAAGAAGCGGCATTAGAATTTGATCTTGCTTGGTATGAGATGGGAGCATATAGCCATATACAGTGGAAAGTGCAAACTAAGGAACTTACCGACTGGACGTCCTCTGGTGGCATGCACTTTTTTTAAAGTTGGGTCCAGCCAAGTAGTGCTTTTGTGTTTAATAAAACTCCCAAGTAGACTTAAAGTATTAATACCGCAAATGAAAACTTTAATTTCTGTGAAATTATATAATTAGTTACCTTTGTTTGTGGAGTAAAGCTTGCATTTTGCAAAAGCTAAAGTTGATGCCAGACAGATGACCTTTGTAATTCCAAAGGATGAAATCCTTAACTGTGAATACAATAGTTCAGGAGATTTACGGCAAACACACCTAAACAGATCAAAGCAGCAGTCATGGGGAAAGGATTACAATGGTCTTTGCCCAACTATAAGCAAATTTTAATTTCACAATAAAACTCTATAAGCCAGCTGTTATAAGCAAAATAATCGACAAAGATCAATCCAAAACCAAATGCCCTCAGATCTCATAGCTTCAAAAATCATGTACAGCTTTAAAAACGGGATCCATTCACAACCTTCTTGCACCTAGGAGAGAGAGAGAGAGAGAGAATAGAAGAGAGAAAAAGAGAAAGAAAGAAAGACAGAAAAGGTGGTGATGATGAAGAAGAAGAAGAAGAAAAAGAAATGCAAATCAGGTTATAAAGAAAACCATTAAGCCGCTCAAAAGTCTATTTGTACATCATTGGGCACGATTTCAGGCATACAGCTCTAAATATTATCAGAAATGTTTATGTAAAGATGAAAATTTTCCTTCAAGTCATGAATCTAAGAAATACGGGTAAATAAGATCTCCTCAATAAAAATTAAAATAAAAAATGAATCCCACAAAACACACCATGGGCTTAATTACTATTGCAGCACAAAACTGGTGTTCATAACACCAGAAGCAAAATATATAATATCTCTTAACATACACAACAACGACGAAAAGACAGACAGAGAGAAGCAAAAGAACAGGCCGTACAAGTAAATAAAAGAAATTGGGGGAAATTAGAGATTCTTGTATCAATATCAAATAATACCACATTAGGGTTTGAAGGGGGCGGATCGAGGGATCCACATACAATGAAAACAAACGAAATTAACAATCAATTCATCTTTGTATCTCTTGTGGGTGTCAGACAAAGCTTTCTAGGCTTTGCATTTCCTTCAAAAGCGCATTTAAAACTGCTCGGAGCCCAGTGCGTGTCATCATCCACTAAACAAGAAAACCAATAAACAAATCAATTACAAAAAAAAATGTTTCGAAGACAAAATTAAAAGCCCTCAGATCTCATAGCTTAATACAAAATCATCAACAGCTTTTGTCATGGTTTCCATTCACAACCTTCACACACATTCCATACGGCCCGTAGCTGTCATTCATCCACAAACACACACACACACACACACACAAACACACGCACCCATACACATAAAGGAAAAGAAAGAGAGATAGAGAGAGAGAGAGAGATGCAGATCAGGTTATGAACGAAACCATGAAGCCGCTCAACAATATATTTTCACATCATTGGGCAATCTAACGAACAATTTGCACCAGTTATCACTGTTGAACTTTATTTTAAGAGTAAAAGAAAAATCAACTATATTTCTAGGTTATAATTTTGCAGTCGAAAAAATATTACAAAAAAGGCAAATGCAATTTGCTCAGAACATCACACCACACATAGGGCTCAACATTTAGATATCAAAAAGAACAAATGACGCGAAATAGACCACGGAATAATGAAGATATCGCCGATGATGCAAATAAAATAAAATAAAATAAGTAGTTACAAAACAAGTAGAAAACAAGTTTTAACACAGAAAAAGTAAGAAATAAACAGATCAGCGTAAAAAGGGGAGGAACCGCGTGAATTTTGAAACAGAAGGGAAATTAGGGTTAGGGATGCAAATGGCACGATAGGAACAAGAAATGGAATTAGGGTTTGAGGTGGTGTGGAAGTGCGGTTAGACTTGGCGTATATAAAGGAAACTACTACGAATTTACCGGATCAGTGCTCGCGTGGGCTTTTTATCTTTGGGCCCATCAAGTAATTCTTGTGACCACCTCTCTATATTGGTATTTTTAATTCTCGAGTGTGAGATATTTTTAGCGAAATCAAGGTATTTCATGTTTTTATATATTTTTTATTTTAAAATTTAAATAACTTATTTATGAAATGAATTTATTTGTTGACATATATTGGTATTCATAATTTAATTTGATTATTATTTATTGATGAAGTACATATTAATTATATTATAATATTGTAAAGTAAAAATTATCAAACTAAGTATTATGCATACATCATTTGAATTTAAATTAAAAAGTGTAACTTTAAAAAATCAAAACAAAAAAAAAATTTCTTTCATGAGAGTGATTATTCATTAACATTAAATTTTATTAGAGATTTGAGTTGATAAACTTATAGCAATTTCATGTTGTTTAACATTGATTTTATTGTTATCTATAAAAAATATGATATCTTGCTAAAATAGTACATATATAATAATAAATAATTAAGTGGGTTGTTAGTGGATTGGGTTAATGGAATGATAAGTGGGTTAGGTGAGCAACCCGACCGACCACGGGCTCAACCTGGGTGGGTTGGGTCACATTTTTTGACTCATCATAAAGTTTTTCATTTTTTTGGCTCGACCTAACCCGTTTTCAAGGTGAGCCGGGGTTGACTCACAGGCTGAAGTCCACTTTGACAGTTCCAATAATTGTTCGTATTCTATATTCAATATTGAATATATTAACTATATTTTATTTTTTATTAAATGTTATTTTAGTATTTTAAGAGATGACTATAATTACATATAATGTTCAAATATTATAACATTGAAAGATAGTTATTTCAATTTTTTATTACTATCAATCTATTATCACATACATTAATATATATATATATATATATATATATATATA